AAATGGTTATCCAGCATCTTCTTAAAAACTTCCAATGTTGGAGCATTCACAACTTCTGGAGGCACGTTATTCTACTGAGTAATTGTTCTGTCAGGAAATTTCTCCTCAGTTCTAAGATGTTTCTCTCCTTGATTTGTTTCCACCCATTGCTGCTTGTTCTACCTTCAGGTGCTTTGGAGAATAGTTTGACTCCCTCTTCTTTGTGGTTGCTCCTGCGATATTGGAACACTGCTATCATGTCTCCCTAGTCCTTCTTTTCATTAAACTAAACATACTCAGTTTTTGCAACCATTCTTCATACAACCGTGCTACCATGCTTTTTCCAAACAGGTTAAATCTAAAATATGCAGCTTTAACCCATTTTTGTATACATCATGTCAAAATAATAAAAAGGTGATTTTAAAATTCCTATTTATTAGTCAATTTATATGCCTGCCCATCTCACATATGTACTGGGTGACTTACAATTAAATAGGTAAAACAAATACAAATTGTTTAAAAATAAAACAGCTGGGAATCATAAAACCCTATTAATATGACCAGGAGACAACCTGTATTGCATATTTGGAACTCCAGGTTCAAGCATAAACACACACACACACACACCCAAAAAAACCAAGACCTCTTGAAAGATTAGCTGATGCTCCTTCCTGCCAGATCTGGATGGATAGAAAATAGGAAAGGTTATAAATAACCTTGTTCCAGTCATGAGGGTCCTGAAAGCAACTGGAATTGTACCCAGAAGCACACGAAGTCAATGCAGCTTGCAGACAGTGGCATTACATGTGCCAAATAATCAGTCCCATTAACTACCTGTGTAGCCACATTCTGCATTATAGAATACTCTTCGAGGGCAGTCCTACCTACAACATGTTGCGATACTCCAGTCTGGAGGTCACTTTCTGTAAGTTCTTTGATATCCATCTGACATAATGAATATATTATTTTCAACTACTAATAGCTTTTTAAAACAAAATTATGATGTTTAGATGTATCTACAGTTTTCTTCCGTTAACCCTTTTTGGAAATAGATTGAGGACAGTCTAATCTAAAAATATAAATTGTAATTCAGATCTAGCTAAAGTCTGAACAAATGAGAACATTTCTGTGCAAAAGTTTTAGGCATGACTCCAAAACAGCATTTTCAAAATATAAAATTGCCTCTCAAGTATCTTAAACCTGAAGTGATGCAAGCAAAAGCAATCTTCTCACAAAACATCAAATCCACTTTGGAGATACTTGTTATTTATGAAATTAACCCCATACATCTCTTAAGCTTAGTAGAACTTTCCTAGTTATGCATAAGTGAAAAAAGTAAGGAAGGATGAAAGTTGAAGAAAAAAAGCAGTGGGTGAGGACAGCCTGGCCAACAGTAACTGGGGCGGGAGGAGGGTTATGATGTTTGGGAATGCTGTGTGTGTCTCCTGGAAGTCTCTTATTTGCTTAGTACAGGTAGCCCTCGAGGTATGACCCCAATTGAGCCCAAAATTTATGTTGCTAAGTGAAACATTTGTTAAGTGAGTTTGTCCCATTTTATGACTTTTCTTTCCATATTTGTTAAATGAATCACTGCAATTGTTAAATTAGTAACCTTCCTGTTAAGTGAATCTGGTTTCCCCATTGACTTTGCTTGTCAGAAGGTCACAAAAGGTGATGACACACATGACCCCAGGATACTGCAACTGTCGTAAATGTGAATCCATTTACGAATGTAAATCACGTGACCATGTGAATGTTACAATGTTCATAAGTGTGAAAAATGGTCTTACCACTTTTTTCAGCACTGTTGTACTGAAACTTGTAAATCGGGGACTACCTGTAATTATTATTTTTTCCTTTTTTACAATTTCTATCTTCATTGTTTGGCTTTGTAATTACGATTAAAAGCAGAAGGAGTGAGGACTTGCACTTCTTGCATAATGGGATATACATTAGTAGCACATGGATGTGTGGAACTGGGAGAGGAAAGAGGTAACTTCACTCTCGTATTGAAGTTGATGCAAAAATCTGAAACCTTGTTTAGGCAGATTTCTGAGAGGGCAACATCACTGCCTTCCGTCAGTCAATCAGGTCTTAGTGATACATGCCAAACCTGGCCATTTATCTACCATTAGATCACAGATGGGCATGGTCTTATTACAGATAGCTTTCCATTCTTTTGTTCCTTTTTGTTCTTGTGACAATGTTGCAAAATGTATTAAGCTAAAAATTATGGCTAAGCCAAGGTTCATAACTCGTGTACTTCATAACTGAATCAGCACTGGTCCTCATCACAGAATCTAACTGATGCATCAGATTCCGGTGAGTCCTTGTTATGCTATATAAATAGGAGTAAATAAATTAAGTGACCTAGATTTTAACATGCCTCTGAAATCCCAGTTTAACAATAAACATAATTCAAATTATTAAGGCAATTGAAAGAAGGTTATGAATTTTTCAATTTTCTAATTTAAGTCTTTTAAAATATTATTCAATTCATGTTTTTATTAATTTTATACCCAAGTTTTGTTAATGCCAAGTTTTATTAATGATAGCCATGAAATAATAATAAGAATATCCATTTCAGGTTACTCAGCATTATTTTATTTATATTTCAGCCAAAAAATACAATGCTGCTTAAGTGGTGACAATTTTTAAAATAGTCCCTACCCTCAGTTTATAGGAGGTCAAAAGAAAAGCTCAGAAAAAAGAAAGCCAGTGAATGTCGCATTGTTACCTGAAATCTTAGGATCTTACATGTCTTTTTGTATGATGGGAGACACAGAATGGCTAAAAAAGAAAAGACTCAAATATTCCATCTGGTCTTTGAAAAGCCTGGCAGTTAATAAGTTGCACAATGGCACTCTAAGTTAGTAAACTGGATGGTATTCTTTTTTGCTTCCAATTTTGCAGAACTCATACAGATACCCTCTCCTAGCTTCAGAACAATTCAGTTAAGATTGTAACGTAGATCTGTCGGTTTCTTTGTTTGAGTTTAGTTACTGCTCTTTGTCAGGTTTAGTTACCGTGTTTTGATTCTTCAGGGCTTCTCGGCTGCATTCTAACCTCTTCTATAAGATTAAATCCTTGTGTTTCTGTGCACTGCAGCACCAAGTACCAATTCAATAAATAGCCTACAGTTCTTTCTCTTTCACAAAACATGAAATCTTCCAATAACATAGAGCAATGCTACTTATCCCTTACTGACCTTGAACAGATTCTAGAAGCTTCTTTAAAAAAAAAAAGATTGGTATGCTCACTCTTGCCAGTTTTCTGTCTCTGAATAATTGCCACATTTATCATTGGCCACTTTCTAATTTATTTATTTGTGTAGCTATGATCATGCTGGATTTCACTTCCTCCTTTTGTTCCTTGTGTCTGCAAGCTTAATGAAAGTATAAGATGTGGAAGAACTGTTTTGGACCACAGCACAGCAT